TGGCTCATTACATTTTTGCTTTCTTTCCGGTTGTTATGTTCCAGAAAACTGACATAAACAGGTACATTGCACATATCTGAGAGGTTCCAACCAGGTAGACATTGCTTTGTACTAAACATAGCAGTGGACAGAGATCCTGCTTTTGGATCTAGTCATTCTAAAAACAGGTTGCTTATGAGTGTACCATGCAGTATAAGTCCTTAGGTAAATCTATTTTTGACAGGTTAAAAAAAATGCAGCCTGTCAATTTTATAATGGTTTAGACATAATCCAAATCAGCCACACATATACATAATTTCAACATTAATTTCTGCCATTTAGAAGTACTTTAGTTTTCAAGTGATGATCAGGGATTTCAACTGTAGAAAAATCCCCTAGGCTAGAACCAAGGAAAGTATCCTTCAATAAAATCCATACTCAGCAGACTGCCCTCTACTGTCCCAGCGATTGGTCTGTGGTGTTCCTCTGTATCCACTTGAGAATGCAATTAGACCACAGGATGTGCATCATGTCCAAGTGTCTGCTCTGTGGTTCTTATAAGGCTGGACAGTCTCATCACAGCCCAGACTGCAAGGTCTCCAAAGAGTTTGTGGCAGCTCCTCTTTAACCTGAAGTCTTAAATAGAACAGTATTCTCCCACTTCCTCAAACAACTCATTAGCTGGTGCATGGTTTCTTTCAACGTAAGGAATGGAAATACTACTCTGGAATACTGATAAACAACTTCTAAAAATAAAAAGTAAATTACAAGATGAATGTGTTTTCGGGGCAAAATTGGTACTATCTAATTTCAAAATATGAAAATATTTTCCTGAATTAATGAGTTGGGATTATTAATTCATTCAACACCTACTATGTGCTAGGGACTATGTGATGTCCTTGGAAGTTATAAATATGAGGGTTCATAATAGTATAGGCCCTTGTATGGCAAAAATAAGCTGTGGCTACCTGGTGCTTGATTAACCCTTTGAACCAATCCAACTTGTCAGTTTGTCAGAGTAGTTTGGTTTTTCTTTCATTGAATTGATAGTAGCTTGTTAACATTAATGAAATCAACCAATTCCTTTGCTGTGGTCTAGATTTATCCTATACAGTTACTTATTTTTTCCTATCCTAGCCTGAATTCTTTCACTGATGTGCTTTTAAAAATCAAAACCTTTTAATTAGGCAATAGAACTGCTTACCAGAAAAGTACTCTAGGCAAAAAAGATCATAAAAGACTGTTAAAAGATATTATTTCCATATGTTCCTACTTTTTTAAGAGCATATGCTTTTATGTACAAAGGAAGTTTTCTGGGAGAAAACATTAAACAATTAACAATGGCTGCCTTTGGGCAGAGAGTTTAGGGGCTTTGACTGGAAGGAAGGTTTGCTTTTCATTATGTTTCTATACAGCTTAATTTTTACCATTTTAAATATTGTTTTCAATTTTAAATGCTAGTAAATAACAGAAAGGATGCATTCCCAGTAAGTGGTCTTTCAGAAGTTCTAAAATACCTCTTCTAAATAAGAGAAAAATAGGTGATCTACACTCTATGCCTCTTTGATTCCCTCTTTCTTTTGTATATGCTTTATTGCTAAACCAGAGTGATCTGAGACTTGGAATGTAAAATTACTCCCACACTGGTTCCATGAGGAAAAGATTAATAAGCAGAACCTACCGAGATTGGGTAGCAAATGGGGGCCTCTTTGAGGAAGTCACCTTTAACGAGAAAAGGAAGAAGTTACCCCTGGCAGTGGCCTAACTTCCCCCCAGCTGCATTAGGACAGTTACCGTCCATCCATCCTTTCAGAATGAAGTGGATATAGGTTAGAGAAGTCTGCACTGTGATTGTCTGGAAATTTCCTCCAATGATTTCTTTTTTTTTTTTTTAAGATTTATTTATTTATTTGAGAGAGAGAGAGTGCAAGTGGTGGGAGGGGTTCAGAGAGAGAGAGAATCTCAAGCAGCCTGCCTGCCGAGTACAGAGCCCGACTCGACTCAGGGCTCAATCTCACGACCCTGAGATCATGACCTGAGCCAAAATCAAGAGTCAGACATTTAACTGACTGGGCCACCCGGGCGCCCCTCTCCAATGATATCTTTCATTTCCCCTTGTCTTTAATTCCCAAGAAGAATCAATGCTCACTCCTGGGGAAAGGAAAAATAACAACAAAAATAACAAAACTCTACTTATGTCAAAGAAAGACAATTCTGTGATCTTTTTGGTGCCCACCAATTCTGTGATATCTTTCCCTTCAGTCCTTCCTCTACATCTCACCCTAATTGAAAGCTTTGGCAAGCATGAAAAAGGAAAAAATTCAATTGAGATTGGAAGGGTCTGAAACAATACATGCTCAGGTGTGTTTTTTTCCGGATCATTTTTCTTACCCCTTGTCATTTAGACCCTCACAGGACTTCAGAGTCTCCCTTGTTAAGCAAGAAACATCCTTTTCTCTCATTATTGGATGTGTGAATTGGGAAATCCATCCACATGGATTTTGGGATACCTGTTTCTGATATGAACCAACCATAACAACTCAATTGTTCCAAAGCATATCCTGTAAAAATCCCTACACGTTTTAATTACATCCTGTAGTCTTCAGTGGAGAATTACACTTGTGGGACAAAATATTAAACTTTCATTCTATAAAAAGTAGTTTTCATGTTTTCTTCTCTTTATGGGGGGAGATTCATCTCAGAAACAGTGTTTTATATCTTTACTTGCATGAAGCCTTAACAACCAGCAATCAGCAATGGTATAATTATTCGTTAGTTTCATTAAACTGTCATGAGTTTAGGGCATTGTTCCTGTGAAGAGCCCACCAATTGTCCTTGGACAAATGTTTATGCAGAAATTCTGGGAAGATACTAACCAAGACTCATCAGAGTGCAAGGAAAAAAAAAAGAGATGAGAGACGGAATTGGATTCTTCAATTCAGAGGTCCTTTCAGAAAACTGTTTAAAAGAAAGGGAAATATACAGGAAACAAACTGAAAGTTGCTGATGGGGAGGTCAGGTGGGGGAATGGGTAATTGCCTGATGGGCATTAAAGATGGCACTTGATGGAATGAGTGCTGGGTGTTGTTGTCTGCAGCTGATGAATCACTAAATTCTACCCCTGAAACTAATAATACAGTATATGTTAATTAAATTGAATTTAAATTAAAAAATTTTTTAAATGAAAGGGAAATATGTTTGAAGACTAAAAAGAGGATTTCTGAAATAAGTCACACAAGGTTTTAGCCATAAAAATAGAATTTTAGAGAGCCCTACATTACTAAATTTTCAAAATGAGTATTATATTAATGACCACATTGACCATGAAATTAAACCTCACATAATCTTTTAGATATGGGCGCCTGGGTGGCTCAGTCGGTTAAGTGACTGCCTTCGGCTCGGGTCATGATCCTGGAGTCCCAGGATCGAGTCCCGCATTGGGCTCCCTGCTCAGCGAGGAGCCTGCTTCTCCCTCTAACCCTCCCCCCTCTCCTGTACTCTCTCTCTCTCATTCTCACTCTCTCAAAATAAATAAATAAATCTTAAAAAATATATATATGTCAAAACAGAAATTCAAAGCTCAACTCAGAGCCACTAAGGCAAAAGGTACTTTGCAAAAAAAGAAGAAAAAGACAGGTTTGTCAAGTTAGTAGGATAGTGTTTCCTATTGAGTGGAGTCAGTTTCAATTCTGAGTCACTAAGCAAAAATTAGAAAGGAAATCAATACCATTTTTGCTCTTGAAAAGGCATCATGTATTCAGCAGGGACTTCCCTTTTAGGTAGCTGAGCTAGTATTCAAGCCCATGCTCCTGCTCTAATACCTAATTAGATAAATATCAGCAACTCATAGGAGACTTTATGTTCTTGCTACTTACCATAGCCACTAGAGGGTAGCCATCCTTTCCTTCCAACAAAGGTTTTAAATTGTCAACATGGAAGAATAGACTTTCCGCAAATGCTACAAACAGATCAGAGTAACCACATTTGTCTGTATGATAAAGGGAGGTTTAAGCCTAAATAAAGAAAGGCCACTTACGACACACCTGGTGAAGCAGAGTCAGCCCCATCAGCACAGAGAAAAAGCTAAGTCCAAAATGGCGTTAAGGGTGTTAAGCCGATGACAAGTCGGTACATCCTAAACCACTTCCTTTTTCCAGGATTCTCTATCACCTTGAATTCAGAGACCGTGCTGCTTGTCAAGAGATAATATAATCCTCCAGCACTGCTACTTGAAAACTAGCTTTACTCATGGTTTAGTAAAACTAGTTAAGAAATGACTGCCTGCTTCTCAGTCAAGCTGTCACCCAAACCCTAACCTTTTGCTGCTCTTTGAAAAGTAGGTGGTCATTTGCATCGACAGGGATGGAATTGGAGGGGATTATGCGAAGTGAAATAAGTCAAGCAGAGAAAGACGATTATCATAGGGTTTCACTCATATGTGAAACATAAGGAATAGTGTGGAGGACCACAAGGGAAGGGAGGGAAAACTGAATGGGAAGAAATCAGAGAGGGAGACAAACCACAAGAGACTCTGGACTCCGGGAAACAAACTGAAGGTTTCAGAAGGAAGGCGGGTGGGGGGATGGGGAAACCGGGTGATGGGTATTAAGGAGGGCACGTGTGGTGTTGAGCACTGGGTGTTATACGCAACTAATGAATCGTTGAACACTACATCAAAAACTAATGATGTACTCTATACAGTGACTAACTGAACATAATAAAAAAAATTTAAAGAAAGAAAAAAAATGAAAAGTAGGTGGTATGACTACTTCACGTAAGATCAAAGGTTCATCTCTTCTGTTATTATATTTATCATTCTCTACATTTTTCCAAATTAAAAAAAAATGACTAAGGCTTTAAAATATTTTTTTAAATGATAAAAATGCTGTATTGCTGCCCTGCTAACTGGAAAGCATAATGAACAATACAATTTAGAAGTTCAGAGGATAATTAGAAATGTAAGTGTCCACGGATTCCATGCCAGCTCTGTTGTTTCTTACCACGGTGTCTCCTTCTTTCAGCTTCTGGCCGGGCGCTGGCCTTTTGATCACAATGACTTTGGCGTATTTCTTTGCAAGCTGTTCCCCTTTTTGCAAAAGTCCTCGGTGGGGATCACCGTCCTCAATCTCTGCGCTCTCAGTGTTGACAGGTAATGTGGTTCTCTCCCACCACTCTTGTTAAGGTTTCGAAAAGCATTTTTCTCAAAAAGAATAGAAGTCAAGGAGCCTTGAGAGTTGGTGCCCAGGACAGTTGTTAGTTTCAAGTGAATTAAAATATCAACAATCTAACCCTACTGTTTAGAATCGCTTTACACATTTGTTGATCATTAGCCATCTTTAGCTCAGGCAATTTGTATCTAGAGCAGCCATTTGGCACCCTGTGGCAACAAAGGAGAAATGCACATATTGGATGGAAAGAACCTTGGAAAAGGAGATTTTAGGACATGCAAATGCTATATTTTCAGTGGTAGAGTTCTCATTAGAAAAAAGAAGATACCATTCAATTATATGTATAATACTTGATCACTTGAGCTGGGTGGTGAATATATAATATTGTTATTTTTTTTTCTATGTGTCTTTCAATACCTGAAATGTTTCACAGTGTTTGAAAAGAGGGCAACAACAGAAGCACTCCTTGGTCTGATTCTGAAAAACCCATCAAGTATCTCTAAGTCTTTCTGGAATTCTCCTCAAACAGAGGACTCTTGATGTCAAACTTCTGATGTCAAACAGAGATGTCAAAACTTCTCTCAAGAAGTCCTTCTAGATGGTATTTTCTGCACCTCCTAACTTTCATAGCAATAACTATAAAGAATGAAGTTAGGAACTTTATAAAACAGTCTATAATGTTCCTTTATATTGAATATTCTCCTATGCAAATGCTCTTTAATGTCCTATTTAATTGATCTACCACAATTTAGAAGAGGTTTCCATTTTTTTCTCTCTCACACTCTGGCAATCATTCTGTCAGAGCAACTGAGTCCCATCATCATAGAAATAAAAGACTCCCTTTGTTAAAGAACATTTAAGCCTTTACAGACATTCTGTTATCTATCATCTGCAATTACTTTGGGGGACCAAATCGTTATTGTTAAAACATAAAAATACTCATTCCATCAGTAGATGAAAATTATCGTGGCATCCTTGTTATAAAAGTATGCCTGTAATAACTGTCAAACACAAAACAAAATGTTTAGCAGTGTTATTAAAAATAAATGTATTGCAAAAAAATGTATTGCTGAAATTACAACACACAAAAAATTCCTTTAAGTAGTTTAGTCACCAGCTGCTGATGAAAATGCTGCCGATGCAGTGGTAAACACAAGCTCAGAGAGCATTTCTCCCTTATTAGTCGGATTCTCCATAGTTCGCAGGAAAACCTGAGGTCTGGGTGCTTTTCTTCTCCGTCACAGCAGGCATCAAGGGCTGCTGTATGAACACATTTCAGAGGCTAGTTGGCCACTGTGTCCCTTACACTTGAAGAAATAACAGACTATGTTACCTTTGGCCATGTCCTAAGAAATTGAGTAAGCATTTATAATCTGGATTTTACTCACTAATGAATTCTCACTCTGCTGTTCCTACTCCTAGCATCATCCCAATAACACAATTTCATCTTGTATTCAAAGTGTTGTAGTATCTAAAAATTAAAGCATTTAAATTATATCTGTGACATTACTAATACATGTAAAATGTTTCTGGTATTTATCAAGTCGTATATTTAGAGATGTAGCTATGTATTCTTATTACAATATCCAATTAAATTTTCAATTACAATATAACTCTAAAATCCCTGTGGGGAAAAGAAATAAGAAAATAATCATGATAGTTTAAAAAAGAATTATGTTTCCTGCATGCATACTCTTCCTATATAATAGTGTTAAATATTGTAAAGCTACAGTATTTAAAACGGTCTGGCACATGGGTGCCTGGGTGGCTCAGTCAGTTAAGCATCTGACTCTTGATTTTGGCTCAGGTCATGATCTCAGGGTCGCTGGACGGAGCCCTGCGCTGGGTTCCACATTGGGTGTGGAGCCTGCTTGGGATTCTCTCCATCCCTCTCCCTCCGCCCCTCCCTCTGTTCCCTCCTCCCCAAACTAAAAACAACAACAACAAAAAACAGTGTGGCACATACATATAAATATACTGAGAAATAAATGGGAAAGCCAGAAACAGGTGTTATACTGTATGAGAATGTAATATAGACAAATCACTTTGAGTATAATGGGGAAAGGAAAAATAGTGCTATTTAGCCATCTGGGGAAAAAAAGCATGTTAAAGTCTTATCTTTTACTATATATCAATAATAATATTGATAATAATTACCACTTATTGAGTATTAGTATGTGCTAAGCCCTGTTAAAAATACTTTACAGAAGTTCTTGTCCTTGGTCCTTACGACACCACCTTGTGATGGTCCTATAATCACCCTCACTTTACAGATGAGGGAACTAAGGTTGGAAGAGGTTAACCAAGGCCATTTGGTGACCAAATGTCAGAGCCAGTAATCAACTCTGAGTAGTCTGCCTTGTTAACCACTATGCTCCAGCATGTAAAAACTCAAGCCATGTAGAAGAAAGTAGGCTAACATCTTTTTGATCACTAGAAAAGGAGGACTTTTTGAACTTAAAAAGGATGGCAGAAATTCTGAATATAATTATCAAAGGATTTCAGGACAAAAACTTTAAAACATGAAGATCAAGCATTCATAAATTTCAAAAACAAAGAAGCTGGGGGAAATATTTGCCAGCAAATACCTGTTACAAAACTACAACATATTAATATACTTGGTAATTAAGGAGGCCATACAGATAGTAATGAAAATCATAAGACTTCCATATAAAAAGAGCATGAATATAAAAATTCCAAAGAAGAAACTTAAGTGACTAATTAACATATGAATAATGTTCATGTAATCAAAGAAATTCCAATTAAGAAAACATGTTTCTCAATATCTGGTGGGAGTAGAGATTTAAACAGCCCTTCAGGAAGGTAAAATCCTACAAATGCTTTCACCTTCTGACCCAGTAATTATAATTTTTAGGATGGATTCTAAGAAAACAGTCCAAAAAATTTGAACAGAGAATTCATGCACAAAAATGTTCTTTTTTTTTTTATTTACAGGAAAATATAGCAATCTCATTGCCCCATGTTAGGCCAATGGATAAGGAGGTTAAATATAACTGACATGTATAGGTATATGAATATAAAATTCCTTGAAGGAAACATGACAAATATTAGTAGTAGTTATATCTAGGGATGGGGTGATGGGTGTTTGTAATGTTCTAGGAGTAGAACCTTATTTACCGAAAGTGTATTTACCTTTATTGCCTGTTACCCATTTTCCTTATTTACTCTATGCCACTTTATACATTTTATTTATCTCATTTATGTAGCTCATTCCTGTGACCTGTGTTCTATATCAAGGCTAATTTTCTATGGGCAGGCAGCTCTAAAGCACAAGCACATAGGCAATAAACATGAACACAGAAGCTTCTGTACATGGAGAAATACATGTACATACCCAGCCCAGAGCTGCTCCTATCCCTATTGTTGCCTTTACAAAAACACCATCATATTTGGGGAAATATCATTTTATTTAAAAAATTAAACTTTGTCCCAAAGGCTTTAAAAACCAGGATGATAACGAGCGCTGGGAAAGAGGAACCCAGCATCCCAAAAGAAAACTGCACCTCTGAGGAAACATCCAACCAAAAGCCAAAGCCAGATAAGATCAGCATATGACAAAAAAGAATGAGAAACAGAATGAAGACAAGGATAATTCTTGTTTCCTATAAATAATAACATCTTTTTTAAGACATGTAAGTAAAATCCCCTGAGAGGCATGGATAAAAAGAGAAGCCAAAAGAGAGGAAGAACTCATGATCAGGGAAATGCAAATCAAAACCATGATGAAATATCACCTCCCACCTCTCAGAATGGCTGATATCAAAAAGACAAGAAACAACAGGTATTGGCGACAATGCAGAGAAAAAGGAACCCTGTGCCCTGTTGGTGGGAATGTAAATTGGTGCGGCTGCTGTGGAAAACAGTGTGGAGGTTCCTCAAAAAATTAAAAATAGAATTACCATATGACCTAGCAATTCCACTTCTGGGTATTTATCCAAAGAAAATGAAAACACTAATTTTGAAAAGATATATGCAGCCCTATGTTTCCTGCCACATTATTCATAATAACCAAGATGTGGAAACAACTCGTGTCTATCCATGGATGAATGGATAAAGAAGATGTGGTAGATATAAACAATGGAATATTATTCAGCCATAAAAAAGAATGGATCTTGCCATTTGTGACAACATGGATGGTCTTTGAGGGCATTATGTTAAGTGAAATAAGTGAGACAGAGAAAGACAAATACTTATGATCTCACTTATATGTAGAATCTAAAAAACAAAACAAGCAACATTAAGCAAAAAACAAGCTCATAGATACAGAGCACAGATTAGTGGTTGCCAAAGGGCAGGGTAGTGGGGGTGAAATGGCTACAGGGGGTCAAAAGGTACAAACTTCCAGTTATAAAATAAATAAATCATGTAATGTAATGTACAGCATGATGGCTATAGTTAATACTGTATTGCATATTTCAAAATTCCTAAGGGAGTAAATCTCAAAAGTCCTTACCACACACACACAAAATTCTATAACTATGTGTGGTGAGGGATGTAATTAGACTTATTGTGGTGCTCATTTCATAATGTATACAAATACTGAATCATTATGTTGTACACCTGAAACTAATATAATGTCTTACGTCAATTATACCTCAATACCAGTAAATAAATAAATATTTTAAAAAGAGAGAAGAAAGAATTTGCTTGGTTTGGTAAGCAATGTAGGCAAATTGTCATCCTTGTGATATATTTTCTTGTGAGAAAATGTAGAGTATATTTTGTGAATTGTGTTATGTGGCATAGTTATAGTGGTCCCTTTTATATTTTATGTAAGTGTAGATACTCAATTTTTTGTTGAAAAAATATTTTAAGGCACTTATTCCTTAGTGACGTATTGTATAAGAAATTATCCCTAGATTGAGAAGCATAATTCATAATTTAGTTCCACGGGGGCTCAGGCAGAAAGGGGATGATGCACAGACATGAAGAATAAAGCCCAGCCACTGGCCCTTAGGAGTCTTCACACTTGTGAAGACAGCAACCTGAGGACAAGGGAAAAGGAAATACATGAAGGTATTTAGGCTACAGGATGCCTAAATCACCTAAATCATCAAAACCCTGCATTGTTCTTCCCTCTCTTTCTTCCTTGGGGGAATCTCAAGCAACCATTTTGCACAGTTTCATTCTCCCCAGTAGAAACTCTACTGTCATGGGGTGAAGGGTGTTGGGGCATGGAGGGCATGGAGGGAATCGGTCTTAGGTTCTCCTGTCAGGTGTAGGCTCACCTCACCTTACCACATCCTCCCCGCTCCCATCTCATGCATGCAGAAAAATGAACTAAATGTTCCATCACAAATTATCAGTTGTGTATCCAATGACATGTTCTTGGTTAAAAGAAGGAAAGAGGAAATGGCATCAAGTGTCTATTTCATTAAGACTTGGGCTCAGTTTTAGATCAAGACGATAAACCATTTTAAAATTCCACTGCCACAAAAATCTGCCTTACTCTAGGAGGTTTTCCTTGGTAATAAACTCAACACTCTTCGTTCCCTGGTTCCTTTTTTATTACTTTTACATTTCATTTGGTACTGATTCTAAGCTTTGGGACCTGAATGTAGGGAATCTATTTTGACATTTCTATTTCAAAAGCTTGGTGTGCCGGGGCCTCGGCTCGCGTGGTGCGGGCCTGCGGGAGCCGAGGCGCATCCCCGTTGGGTGGCAGCCATGAGCACCCCAGCCGTGCCCCAGGACCTGCAGCTGCCCCCGAGCCAGAGGGCTCAGCCCGCATTCAGAGAACAAAGAAGACAAAAACTCAAGGAACATATGTTAAAAAGAAAAACTTTTTTTGCATACAAACAGGAAAATCACATACCCAGTAGAGACCAGAAAGTGATGAACTCTGAGGGCCAAGTCCACGAAGAGACAAAAGTTCTGAAATTTAAAACAAAAATGGCTGGTAAAGAAAATGTCAGTAGACCTCCTGGGAACAAAAATCATATAACAATCGGAAAAAATTGTATTCCTTTAAGACCTTCTAATGAGTTAACCAGTTCAACAATAGCAGTTGACACATAATTTTGAGGATAATAATCAAATGGGACAGTCTGTACCAATTAAAGATGACCCTCAAAGTCAACACATGATATTAAGCCAAGTGTTTCATCTTATAAACAACAATAAAGAGAAACAAATATCCATAGAAAAACCAAAGCACGATGCTAACATGTCCAAGAAGCTTGTGCTTGGGTCTTACCGTGGCCAAATTGTTCAGTCTAAGATTAATTCATTTAGAAAGCCCCTACCAGTCAGAGATGAGAGTTCTGCAACAACGAAGAAGCCTTCAGCTGCTGTCCCTAAAGACCCAGAGCCTCCACCCACAGACACTCGAAGTGCAACAGTGAGAAGTGATAGAGCCCCAAACGTGGTGACCACCACTAAACTTGGGAGCACTGCATCTCAGAACAGACAGCTGGTGCGGCCTCCTATCAGAAGTCACCGCGACAGTGCTCAGGACACTGTGAAACGGGGCATCAGGCGAGCCACTGCCAATGTTACAATCCGGAAAGGGCCTCGGGAGAAAGAATTACTGCAATCAAACATGGTTTCATCTAGTGCCAAAACCAGTTCTCAGGATGTAGAGAGAAAGAAGACACTGTCAAGAAGCCTGACTTCTGAAACTGTAGCCAGGCCTGCTTCGTCTTCTAACACCAAACTGATACAGAAATCAAAAAGCATTGACCCTCGCAGACACACTATAGCAAAAGCAACTCTTGATAGATCGGCTCAGCCCAAAGAAACAGCAGAAGAGAGAAAAGCTCGTCTGAGTGAGTGGAAAGCTGGTAAGAGAAAAGTGCTGAAAAGGCCTCCTAGCTCAGTGGTTACCCAGCCTGAGCCTGAAGGGCAAAATGAAAACTCAGTTGGGTCCTTTTGGACGACCATGGTAGAAGAAGATGAACAAAGATTATTTACTGAAAAAGTAAACAAGACATTTTCGGAATGCCTAAACCTGATTAATGAGGGGTGCCCAAAAGAAGAAATATTGGTCATACTGAATGACCTGCTTAAAAATATTCCAGATGCCAAAAAACTTGTTAAATATTGGATATGCCTTGCACATATTGAACCGCTCTCAAGTCCTATTGAAAATATTGTCACAATCTATGAGAAAGCTATTTTGGCAGGGGCTTAGCCTATTGAAGAGATGCAACATGCAACTGCAGATATTCTAACAATGAAGAGTCAAGAAAAAGTGAAATATGGAGAAAATATTGAGGCTTGTGCAACTAAGGAATACATCCAAGAAGTCGACAGTGAAGATATAGGTGTTAATCTAGAGTCAGGAAGACCAGAAATGGAAAAGAAACCTAGAAATGTGGTATTTCAAGATGGTGAAAAAGAGGAAGATGACAAAACAAAAGATCCAACCAATGATGTTAAAACCCCCAGTACAGAAACCAGGGGCAGTTGCTTAATTAAATATAATGTGTCTACTACACCATACCTACAAAGTGTAAAAAAGAAGATCCAGTTTGACAACACAGATACTACATTTAAAGAGCTAAAGTTTCTAACACCAGTTAGACATTCTTGACATATTCAAGAGAAGACTTCTAAATTGCCAGATATGTTAAAAGACCATTATCCATGCGTGTCATCACTGGAGCAGTTAACAGAGTTAGGAGGTGAAACTGATGCTTTTGTATGCCGTCCGAATGCAGCACTATGCCCCATGTACTCAGAGGCTGGAACAGCACAGGACAAATAAAGTGATGATAAGGAATGGGGCTTCTGTTGTTCCTGGGGGCTTTTGTTTGCTTGTTGTAGCTTGGTATGTCTCTTAGGAGTTGGCCAAGTACTTAAGTATTCATGGCAGTGAGCTCTTCTACTGATGTTCACGTTATAGCAGGAATGCCTTCTGTGCAGCAGAATGCTAATCCTACCTTGTCAATCTCAGCAGAGGGAGTTCCTAAGAAAGGTGAATTTTGTCAAGTAGTTTACTATGTTCCTTGAGTATAAACAGGTTTGATCATCATGTTGGCTTGTTCACTTTTAATAGTCTTAAATTGTTAGTCATTAAATATAAGTAATGCGGCAGACAGAATACTGACTTTTTTTGCCTTTTCTTAATTTTGGATCAGTAGGAAAGTCAATAATTGTAATGTGACTTTTTTGAAAGGTGAAGACATGGAAGATTTAGCTCGCTTTTCCACCCAATTCTTGTTACCCGGGCTGCTGTGTTCTCTTGTGCTTTGGCTCTTCACTATCATTTTCCATCAATGCTAGTGAGTCTGTGGTCTCTGTTGGCTTCTTTTTTATTGTAGCTGAGGTCACCACAAACAATAATTAACTAAATGCCCCATTTCTAAGAGGAAATACTTTGTAGTAAAAAAGAAAAGGTGCCAAATGCAGTGGGTATTTGAAACTTTAAATCTGAGTTTCTTTCTTTAGTTCCTTTTGTAACTTGGCTATCTAAAATGTTAAAACTTTAACTTTCCTCATTTCATTTGATATAGTTGTAGACTATTAGAATGGAATTAGAGAAGGAATATATAATGTCATTCTAATTTAGGTAGTATTTCTAGAATAACTAATATAAAATATAACTAATATAAAATATAATAAAAACTTTACTGTTAAGTCATGTCCCTTGAAACATGATAGTTATATACAGTAAACAGTTTCTTCTCCCCACACATTAAATATCACCCCTAAAATTGTTTTATAAGTCTCTGAACTAATACCTAAATACATCCTCTACCAATTCTACAGTTTCAAAGATTCGATAGTTTTAAAATTGTGTGTAATATAAGTGTGCTTGAAAATCACAGTCTTATGTTCACTCATTCCATTTGTATAATAGCACCTACCTTTGTTCTGTTGTCTTATGCTCTAGAGAGGAGTTTTATTCTTTTATAAACTGTGTTCCTAATATTTATAAATAATCTGTATAATCATAAAAAAAAAAAGGTTTCACACTAGAGAATGAATCATACACACTTAATTCCAGAAGATAAGATACCATTTGCTTTGGGTCTTGATTTGGTTGCATTATATTCTACTAAAAATAAGAAAATCCCTCTTTACTTTTTTTTTTAGAAAATCCCTCTTTAAAAAAATAAAAACAAAACAAGAAGTAAAAAGAGACAAACTGGAACATATTACAAAACAATTTGCAGTCTGGGAATCCCTGCCTTCCTCTTAAGAGCTGAATGAATCAAATTACAGCTCAGGAAGAGTTCCTATGATTTTTTTAAATATATTTTAAATATATCTCTCATTTCAGAGTTGTTGTTTTTGAGAGAAAATAATGAGAGAAACTATATATCCAAGTTCTATACAATTTCTTTATTACTTTATTGATTATTCAATGAATATGGAATACAGAAAGATGAAAGAAAAAATCTAGCTGTCTCACTATCAGCTTTGAATCTGAATAAGGTAAACAAGAGAGTAAGAGGAAACCCATGAATTGCCCCAGAAAAGATGAGCTTTCATTGTTAATATCGACTATGGACCTGCCTCAGCTCTACCTGTTCACCAATTCCTCCTCAAATCTAACTTTTATTGATTTTTACTTTGCATCCTTAGTCACTTAAGAAAAAGATAAAACAGGAATTTCAGAAAAGACTGAGGAAATTTAGAAACAATTTTGACCTCTACTCAGCTTTATCAGTGACTTTTTTTTTAATGCTACAGCAATATACTTCTAACATGAATGAATTTTTCCCCCAAAAAATAGGACTAATCAGCCATTACCAACAATTAAAATAGGTATTTTTGCATGCCATAAGTGACAAATTTCAGATGTTACTTTGAGTTTGTTTGGGGGGAAAAATAGATGAGGCAGAATGGAAGGGGAATTCAGTGCTGTTCTTTGTAAAGTTAACTGTCGTGTTTAAAGTGGAAAATGATGGGGTCAGACCAGTAAAAAGGTCTGGGTACAGCTCTAACTTGTAGTTAAAAATTGCATGGGAAGGAGGCTGTAAAAAGATAAAACTCTCTTAAAAACTGCTCCAGGAAGAATGTATAATTAGATACCTGGAAAAGTTGCAGAGACCTATGAATAAGGCAGTTTTGTTTGGTAAGCCTCAAATTCAAAAGCCAATATAGGCTCTTCATCCCAGCATTTCAAGTAATTGCTAAGTGGTTTCTATGATGTTCTCAAAGGTTTATCCTAAGTCAAGAAACGTGAAAGTGGTTTTCTGGAAAACTGCATTTTTAGAGTCAGACTTGATTTGTCCTTATTCTCCTGGCGGTATGATTTCCCTTTGCTGCATGACGGTAGGGGAAACATGAAAGGGGAGTCAAAGCCAGAAGAGAGAACCCAGGGCTGGGACAGAGACAAAGCCAACGCTGACTGTAGGGCAACTTGGGATCTCATTTTGGGGTCTGTGCCCTGTTGCACATAGTTAGGTATTCTTTTATCTTAATTCTATTGACAAGATCGAGCGACTGGTTAATTTTGCTATCCTTTTTTTCTTTGATAACAATCTACCCCAAAACTTAGCAGCTTTAGACAACCACCATTTTATTATTATCTCACCATGTGGTGGGGTAGGAATTTGGGCAATTCTTCCACAACTTGTCACTTCGCCTGGGTCTTTTGGTGGATTTAAGCTGGTGGCTAAGCCTGTCTCTTGGATCCAAGACACATGACTAGCCCATTGGCAAGAACAGCTGGAAGTCTGAGCTCGTTGGAGCCTCACTCCCTCTCCTGTAGTCTAGCACCTCTCAGCACGTCCTCTGAGACAGGCCCAAGGCTCTGGGAGGCAGTTGCAGCTCTGCTCAGAGGCCAGGCCTGCCACCCACAAAGCATCCTCCCAGCTCTACTTAGCCGGTCCAAGCAGTCACAAGCCAGCCCAATTGAAAGACTCAGTTGAAGGGGCGCCTGGGTGGCTCAGTCATTAAGTGTCTGCCTTCAGCTCAGGTCATGATCCCAGGGTCCTGGGATCGAGCCCCGCATCGGGCTCCCTGCTCCGCGGGAAGCCTGCTTCTCCCTCTCCTACTCCCCCTGCTTCTGTTCCCTCTCTCGCTGTCTCTCTCTCTGTCAAAAAATAAATAAAATCTTAAAAAAAAAAAAAAAGAAAGGAAGGAAGGAAGACTCAGTTGTAGAAGTGTGAAAGTACTCACCGCTATCTTTTAATCCACCATGCCTGGTTTCTCTTTCAAATTCTTCCTGCTGGTATTTTGCCTCCAAACCTCTGTATGGCAGTTGGTTTGTCTATCACATAAGAGGTATAAATCATGAACAAACATTACAAATGATTGTATTTGCTGTTAGTTAAAAATGTGCATAGGTAAGGATAGAAGCAAAGACTTAATGGAAGTGACAGAACTGAAGGAAAAATAATAAATTCTAATGTAGGCAGGTATTGATAGGCACCTGATAGAAACTTTTTTAAAGTACTTCAGCTACCGTGTCCTTCTCTGATTCGATAATCCCACTCAAGATAATTAATCCAAGAAAATCATTCAAAAAGAGAAAAAAAACTATATGTACAAACATATTCATAGATGGGTTATTCACAATCTTGAGACACTAAAATTGATGTGAACTTAGGAGAAATATTTAAGTAAACTGTATCAATATCCAGTTATACTGTGTAGCTATTAAATTAATAAATGCCATGCTTCTGTAGAAGCATAAGGGCATTTTTTTAAAGATTATTTATTTGAGAGAAGACAGAGGGAGCAAGCTGGGGTGGGGGGGGGCAGAGGGACAGGGAGAGAATCCCAAGCAGACTCCCCACTGAGAACTCAGGGATCCATCCCAGGACCCTGAGACCATGACCATGAGCTGAAATCAAGAGTTGGATGCTCAACTGACTGAGCCACCCAGGCACACCAGGGACATTTTTTATAATGAAAAGTGGATAAAACTAAAAATAAAATTGTAATTGATATGACTGTAATATATACTTAGATTATGCTTATGCAAATAGAAATAGACAAAGAATAAGAGGAAATAAAAATAGATTTTATTGAAGCAGTATCTTTTGAATTTGTTTTATTTTATATTGTTTTAAAGCACATTCAATAATAAATATTTTAAAATTTAGTGACCATCCCAGATGGTACCTCAAAAATTCAAAAACATGCATTAAATGCCTTTGGCCTTGAAAACATGTAAAAATATATTTATAGACATATACAGTAGCAAACATCTTTACATAAGTAAAACATGTAATTTATACTTTTATCTCGGTACATCACATAACAGGACACAAGGTGATGTCATGGGAAAAGACTCCCCTGGGAGTTGGCAGACCAGAGCCCTGGTCCAGGCTCCCCACATTCACAGGAGACCAGGCAGAGGATGTAGTAACACTCTAATCCTCAGGGTCCCAACTAGTAGAACATGAAGGGGAGAAAGACCAGCCCAAGGGTCCCTCGTGGGTTTTTTTTTAATTATTTGATTCTAGGATTCTAAAAGTAATAGCTTTTTATCTGTTGCCTAGTCAGGGACAGCTTGAAAAATGAGAAAATGCTCAGAATGTAGTGTGTTTTATTGGCTTTAGCCAATAAAAATAAATACACGGCCAGGAAACAAACAAAGACACTTAATTCAACAGATATTGATTTGGTACCTATTATTCTAGGTATTATGACCAACATATAAAATGTCTGCCCTCATGGAGCTTGTATTTTAAAGACAAGGGTGGACATAAGCAATAAACAAAATAAATAAAATACTTGATTGGTTACATGGTAATAAATGCTATGGAGAAACAAAAATCGGGGTGAGCAGGTCAGGGTAAGTCTGGAGGGGATTCTGGCAATTTCAAATAGCATATTCAGGGAAGGACCCTGTGAATAGATGAGCAAAGAAGGAGATGAGGAAGCAGCTCTGAGGACACCAGTAGGCAGTCCCACTGGGGTGGGAAACCACTGGGGGATTTCACAGAGGGATGACATGATGGACTTCCGAGCTAACAGGCTCACTCTGGGCAGAGTGCAGGAGGACAAAGTGGATGCAGGGAGAATGGTTCGGAAGCTACAGGATAGGTAGTGAGAAGTGGTTGCATTTGGATGCATCGTGAAGGAAGAGGTTGCAGGGTTTGCTAAAGAACTGGATGTGTGGTAACGAAGAGAAAAAGAGGAGTGAAAGCTAACTTCAAATTTTGGGCCTGAGATGGTAAAGACTGGAGAGAGGTCAGGGTGGCTGTCATGGAAGAGGACCAGGAGTCTGGCTTGGGTGAGTTCCAATGCCTACTAGATATCGAGTGACCATCTCAGTCAAGCAGTTGGATAGACAAGTCTGGAGCTAGAGGCGAGGTTCTAGGCTAGAGTTATAAATTTGGGAATTAATTATCAGTATTTAGAAAATTTAAATGATACTAAAAGCCATGAGACTGGCTGGATCACTAAAAGAAAGTGTGTCAACAGAGTAGAAAAGAGGTCCAAGGACTAAGGAGGAATCCAATGCTACGAGTTTGAGAAGTGAGCAGGTTCCAGCCAAGGAGATGAGATGGATCAGTTGGAGAAAAAACAGAAGAATGTAGTAGAAGCCAAGTGCAGAATGCATTTCCAAAAGGAGACATCATTTCTGGACAATCAGTTGTTAGTGGTTGAATCTACACTTGCAGATTTTCTATGGCAAGTGGGGATGTCATATGTATACACCAACTCCACTGAAGGATGTTTATGATCACACCTAGTGAGGAGAACATATTTGCGTATATGTGTGTTGTATCATTATATTCCAAATAGACATCACTTTTGAAACATCGAGTATTTCTTTTTTTTTTTTTTAAAGACACATTTATTCAGCGTCATGATCAGACTATTACATTTAGCAATCAACAGCATGGGTGCAAAAAAAAAAAAATCTACATTAAAACCCTTTGTTGGAATGCTTTACACTTTCCACAGAACAGAAACTAAAATAACCTGTTGTACAATTAGTCACAAATACAGTCCTCGAGTTTTTTGCCCATACACATGAGTATTGTCTAAAACATGTCTTCTTTGCAGCAGCTAGGCCCTGCCACCACTGTGCTTGGCTGAGTTCACAAATCTGTTGTAACCTGCAGCTTCCCTGTCACTTCTCTGGCTCTCCTCTCCTGCTAAGCTTTGTTTCTTGGCAGTAATTAAAACCTTCTGCCACTGCCATAGCTACTGCTGCTGCTGGAACCACCATAGCCACCTTGGTTTCGTGGTTTGGCAAAGTATTGGCCTCCACCACCATAGGGGCCAGAGCTCCTGCCTCCAAAATTTCCTCCTTTCATGGGTCCAAAATTTGAGGATTGATTGTTGTAACTGCCAAAATCATTATAGCTTCCGCCACCTCCAAAGTTGCTTCCATCATTACCAAATCCGTTATAGCCATCCCCACTGCCACCATATCCACCACCACCTCGACTGCCACCAAAGCCACCTCGACCACTGAAGTTCCCTCCACGACCAAAGTTGTCATTCCCACCAAAACCACCTCCACGACCACCACCAAAGTTTGCAGAACCACTTCGACCTCTTTGGCTGGATGAGGCACTAGCCATCTCTTGCTTAGATAGGGCTTTCCTTACTTCACAGTTGTGGCCATTCACAGTATGGTATTTTTGAATGACAATCTTGTCTACAGAGTCATGGTCATCAAATGTTACAAAAGCAAAACCTCTCTTTTTGCCACTGCCTCGGTCAGTCATGATCTCGATCGCTTCAATTTTCCCAGACTGTTCAAAATAATCTCTTAGGTGATGTTCTTCAGTGTCTTCTTTAATGCCACCAACACAAATCTTTTTCACAGTTAGGTGGGCACCAGGTCTTTGAGAATCTTCTCTTGAGACAGCCCTCTCTGGTTCCACAACTCTTCCGTCCACCTTGTGTGGCCTTGCGTTCATGGCTGCATCCACCTCCTCCACAGTGGCATACGTGACAAACCCAAAGCCTCTGGAGCGCTTGGTGTTTGGATCTCTCATTACCACACATCCGTAAGTGTTCCCATTGCTCAAAATGGCTCCTCAGACTCTCATCGGTTGCTTCAAACCTCAAACCTCCGATGAAGAGCTTCCGCAGCTGTTCAGGCTCTTTGGGAGACTCTGACTTAGACATGACGGCGGTGGGAGGGGAGACTTTAACGACGCTTACTCTGCGGCGTCCACGGGCAGAAAGCGAAACATCGAGTATTTCTGATTTTCCACACCTTTCCCTGCCTGCATCATCACAAATGATTGTTTCTAATTGTTCTTACGATTGTTTTCTCATCTCATGGAAATGTTATCAAAATCAACGTGATTACAAATGAAAATAATCTAATTCTCAGTCATGTGGGTTTGCTACACTACACACTAAACATTACTTCTATTTATTTAAAATGTTGAATTTACATTAAATTATAAATATGTAATATTCTGGGAGCTTATGGCACATTATAAAATGAAGCTGCACTCTGAATGTATTCATCATAAGAGCATGTTGACCATATTTTCTTACTCAAACCGCCTTCTATCGCCAATCCTGCCTAAGAAATCTGGCTTTCTTACTCCCTTAGGAGATAAAGCATTTTATTTAAATCACCTTTCCTGATAGTTGCTCTAAGGGAAAGGAGAAAAGAAATAAATATAACTCACTGACAGCCTCAGGATATAGACATCCTGTCTCCATTCCTTTTAGCTTTTACTGGACATCAGGCTGCCAGTCTAATAAGGCAACAAAGAAAAGTAAACAGAAATAAAAAGCAAAATAAATAGCAGTCTTTATCCCACTGGAAATAACCATAAATTTAAAAATGCAACCTTGGCTATATCGTGAAAGGATTTTCTTGGTCTGTTTGCATAGCTGTATTTTATTCTCTTCTGAACTAATCCAGACTTCTTTAAAGATTTGTATTGGACACCAATCTTATTTGCCCTAAAAATCTTTTGCAAAAGACATTTCTCCAGTAAATCGTGCTATATCTATGCCATGTGGCATCATCGTGCATACCCAAAGTATAGGTTCTAATCTACAGTGAAGAACTAAGTAGCATAATTCCTATGACTTGTGTTTTCATAGATGTACTGAGACAGAACACTAAATATAAGGGATATGGGTAGCTTGCCTTGGCTTCACTGACAAATCTTTGACGTTAAGTCACGTATCCTACAAACCCAGGTGCACCTGTCCCCAATGCCTTGGTCTGTTTTACAGTCTTCTTCTGGCATTATCTAATGAAAGCTATAAAAAGAGAATGTTTCCTTTCCATTACAACAGCAAAAAACATTTCAAGAATGAAGCCACAAAAATACCATACCACGTCACAGGTCCCATCTTAATAGTAGGTCTAAAAGTCGTTAGCATCAGACCATCACATCAGGTCAAAGCAGAGTTTCTGAGACCAAACTTTCTCTAGACTTAACATCGAAATGTGATTATTATTACAAAAATATTGAAGTAAAAAATAAGGTAAACAATTTCTTAATGCCAGTTTTTTGATTGACATCATTGTTCTGTTACATTTATGTTCTATATTTTGGTATGAACCATTCTTTTCTATTAGACTATAAAGCCTAAAGATTAGGGACAAAGGTATCTTTAACTCTATTTTATCTATTCTAGCATGGGACCATAATGGGAGAGATACAGTCATTCTTTGACATTTACCAAAAATGTTTACTTTTTAATGCTGTCACATGGCACAAGGCCACAGTACCAGATGTACAGTGAGAGTAGAGGAAAGGAGAAGATGATGGACTATTTATGCCTACTATCCACTTAAGGGTATCTAGATCTACCTCATAGATAATGTTTCAGGTTTCTTTTTTTTTTTTTTTAATTTAAATTCTAGTTAGTTAACCTAGTGTAATGTTGGTTTCTGGAGTAGAATTCAGGGGTTCATCACTTACATACAACACCCAGTGCTCATCATAACAAGTGCTATTCTTAATACCCATCACCCAGCTAGCCCATCCCCCACCCACCTCCCTCAAGTTTCTTTTCTAATATATAAAGAGAAATAAGATATGACCTGAATGAGTACCAGCAGCTTTCACTACTCCTTCCATCATCCAATTCTTCCCCCCCACGTAAAAAAACACAGGCAAATCTATCTGATGCTGCCACATTATAATCTGTCACAAGATTTTGCCGAACCCCAAATGAAGATCTCAGACTTAGGCCTGCTGGCAACTGATTCCCAGAGGGGTGGAACTCATCATGGTTCCACTTATTTTTCACATCAGGGCTCACGGAAAGTTCCTAAAAAGCCAATGATTCATCATTGGCCAAGGGGAAGATCTTTCCAGCATTTCTAATTTCTTTAATTGAAATACATTTTAAATTTCCTAATGACTGCTTTCCTTCACCACCACCACCCCCTTTTTTTTTTTTTTCAGGTACAGAGCAGTTGCCTCCTGGAGTCGAGTCCAGGGAATTGGGATTCCCTTGATCACTGCCATTGAGATAGTCTCCATCTGGATCCTTTCTTTTATCCTGGCCATCCCTGAAGCTATCGGCTTCGTCATGGTGCCCTTTGAATACAAGGGTGAACAGCACAAAACCTGTATGCTCAATGCCACGTCAAAATTCATGGAGGTATGGCGAGTATAAAGGAAATTAATTGGGGGGCGGGGGAGGTCTTCATTTATACTTTACCATCGCCAAGACTTGATGGTAGTCTCTCTACAATGCCCAGTATGGTTTACTCCTTCAGTTCACTCATGTACTTTTCAGCTGCGTGAAAAGTACATGTTACAGGAGGGTTTCACTTCCTGAACAGAATAACTATTTTGTTTTCGCTCTTATAGCACAATTGTAGACACGACTGTTGTTCTACACCAAACAACTCAGAATCTGAAACAAACTTACTCAGTGTTCAATTCAGTAACATATACTGAAGCAAACTAAGAAAGACAGATGTGCTATTTGTTTTTATAATAAGTAATACAGCACAACAATTTCCATCTGACAGGCATGCTGATAGGTATTTTAGGTTACTTGGGCAAATGCACATTGCTCACATTTTTTAAAAGATAGAGTTATTAACTTAAAGTAGGAAGCCATACTTGCATGTACTTATATTCATACAAATTCTGCATGTAATATACAAATAATATAAATTTGCAGAACTTCTTAAAAAGTGTTTTAGTTTGGGACACCTGGGTGGCTCCCGTTGGTTAAGCGACTGCCTTTGACTCAGGTCAGCTCAGGTCATGATCCTGGAGTCCCGGGATCGAGTCCCATATTGGGCTCCCTGCTCAGCAGGGAGTCAGCTTCTCCCTCTGACCCTCCCCCCCTCTCATGTGCTCTCTCTCTCTCTCTCTCTCATTCTCTCTCTCTCTCAAATAAATAAAAGCTTTAAAAAAAAAGTTTTAGTTTAACAAATTTCCTTGTCGTTTAATACACCTGACCACATTAATGTCTCTCTGAAAAGTTTAATTATGTAACTGAATGTATTGGAAAACATGTTTAAAATGCACATTTCCTTTGCCAAACTAGTCAAATGTAGACTGAGGAGAAAAACCAAAAGGATAACTATTTCTCTTAAATCAGCATAATTTAGTGCTTTGATGTAGGTTTCATGCAGCTCAGATTCCACATTTAATCATTTACAGACATCTCCAGGTATGTTTTCCTAACATGGAAAATTCACAAAATTAGTGGTTTTACAGTTGACCAGTTCTCCTCTTTGGAAATTCGTATTTTAAATTTAAAAGTGTTCTTGAACTAGAGGGTAGTATGCTAAGCGAAATAAGTCAATCAGAGAAAGACATGTATCATATGATCTCACTGATAAGAGGAATACTTAATCTTAGGAAACAAACTGAGGGTTGCTGGAGTGGTGGGGGGTGGGAGGGATGGGGTGGCTGGGTGATAGACATTGGGGAGGGTATGTGCTATGGTGAGCACTGTGAATTGTGTAAGACTGATGAATCACAGACCTGTACCTCTGAAACAAATAATACATTATATGTTAAAAAAAAAAATAGAAGAAGATAGTAGGAAGGGAAAAATGAAGGGGGGGAAATTGGAGGGGGAGACGAACCATGAGTGACTATGGACTCTGAGAAACAAACTGAGGGTTCTAGAGGTGAGGGGGGTGGGGGGATGGGTTAGCCTGGTGATGGGTATTAAAGAGGGCATGTATTGAATGGAGCACTGGGTGTTATGCACAAACAATGAATCATGGAACACTACATCAAAAACCAATGATGTAATGTATGGTGATTAACATAACATAATAAAATAAAATTTTTTTTTAAAAAGTGCTCTTGAAAACTGCCAAACTGGCAATGGTAAAATGAAGGTATTCTGTTTATCTACTGACCATTTTATTAAGTCAGTCTCCATAGTGAAAGAACAAAGTAGATGGCAGGAGGTTATCAGAATTTGGGCACTGGGAATAAGCAATCTAGATATTCCCGACTAAAGTGTCAGAAAGAAGAGGCTCATTATAAGAAGGGGCTTACTAGCCTTCAGGAGTTCAATGTCAAGAAGGGGCTTACTAATCATGTGAACTAGACAAAATGAAATGGGCTGTTTTGCAAAGACTGAGTCTCCCATATAGAGTGGGCAAGCAAAGGCTAGCTACCTTAGGGGGTTTCAGTAACGGGTAGGAGTTTAAACTGATCATTTTTTAGATTCCGTTCCAAGCCTGAAGTTTTTAGATTCTTTTTCTCCTCCTGTTCTTTTTTTCTCATTTGATTCCCCAGTTTGTGTTCCATTCTTTCCTCCTCAACTTTGCTCTAACCTAGGCTGGAGGGAGGTCCCCCCACACCCTGGCTGATGACATCAGTTCAAAAGAAATGTGTGACCCCTTTCTCTACAGGCCTCTGCCTTGGAGGGGGCAGGGGACTCCGCCCAGACCCCTCAGGGGTCAGCATCCAGACGCTCTGCAGCTACTTCTGCAGCATTCACACCCGGTCATCAATGCATCTGGAAAACCCGGTTACAAGTGAAGGGGTTGCTCAAAGGAGTGTTTGTGTGCACTTAAAGAGTTCTGTTTTTTGTTTTTGTTTTTTTTTTTTTGGTTTTTCGACTTCAGTACTGAAATCTTTCTACCATGTGATGTGGAGAGGGAGATATTTATATGAACACACCTGAATAAACCTATGCCTTTGGTAGTTTGCACTAACCTTAGGATAGAATTCAGGGGTCTGTGAACTTAAATGGAAAAGAAATTACATATTTATTTTCACTAACTTCTAACTGAAATTTATCATTTCCTTCTATTATGAATGTAGACAACAAACCATGATCATATTTAACAGAACCATTATATTTCCACTAATAGAAATAACATTTTCATGTCACAATAACAGTTGGATAATCTTGAAATATCATTTATGCTCATCATTGTTTCAACTTCTGATAGTTATTAGGACCACCATTAGATTTTTCCCTCAATTTGTTAAGAAACACCTTTATTACTATATCAGAATTTTCTTTTCAATAGTTCAATAGCTGTGTTTAAATGTAATTGGTTACCACTGTAATCTTATTTTATTTTATGCATATAGAAGTGTTATTCTCAGAAAGGATTATAGCCTTCACCAGACATCCAAAGGAGTCCATGGCATAAGAACAGTTAAGAACCTCTGCCCAGAACTTTTTTTTCCTCAGGAACCATTTATAGATTATTTTAATAGACATGTTACAAATGTAGCCTACTGGGCCTCTTTCTATATTCAGCAACTGTCCAGTTTTTCACAGAGCAGCATGATTATTTTTTACTGTGGGAACTGAGATGATACAGGAGGGCCGCATTATCCTTCGTAAATAAACAATCTGGAGAAAGAGCATAGGGGAAAGCATTTCTAAGTTGGTGATTAATTTAGTGGGAGGAAGAATGTAGATATAATTTTCTAATTTCCATTTTTATTGGGTACTAAATTTTCTCCTTTAAAAAGACATAAAACTGAATAATCCTCGCATTTACAAATCCTGCCCACAAGGAGATAATGCTAACTATGCCTTTAGATAAGATACTCAGCCTCAATAGTTTCCAGGTGATAAGTATTACAAGAGTGAGAAAGGGCATGGTTTTTGATGGCTCAAACTGGCCGGCTGCGAGGTCACATAGCAAGCATACCAGGCAAAGGGTTAACTCCCAGGAACCAAAGCTACACAGACAAGCCATTCATAACCTTCGCTGTTACCAAACAAGATTCACATTAAGTACACTTTAACCACAAGGGGCAAAAGGAAACCAGGCAGTAGCAAAATTTTGAGGCTTATCAATAAGTAAAGATAAATACATATTCTGTATATCTCAAAATCATGCTTTATGAGCTTTGGAAGAGAATTCTTTTTCTTGATTAGGGCTCTCCCATTGTGTAATTAAAACCAACTTCAGTTCATAAAACGGATCTTCGTCAGGATAATTTATTTTGAAGTGCCATTCCTTCATGTGCTTTTATAAATCCAGGATGACTTTTGGAGTTCCCAATTTAACTGAGTTCTGAACTTCAGCCCCAAGCCCTTTGCCACAACCAGAGGGCGTGCACATAGAAACATTCCTGCAGGCGTGAAGATTTTGAAGCTACCAGAGGCACTGCCCAATAAATTTAGATTATAATGCCCCTCCTTTTCTCTCCCTTTTCTTCACCTTACAGTTTTACCAAGATGTAAAGGACTGGTGGCTCTTCGGGTTCTATTTCTGCATGCCCTTGGTGTGCACTGCGATCTTCTACACCCTTATGACCTGTGAGATGTTAAACAGAAGGAACGGCAGCTTGAGAATTGCCCTCAGTGAGCACCTTAAACAGGTAAACCTCATAAGCTCATGAAAATTTGGCCAAGACTGATTTGTCCCAGACAACAGAGAGCCTACATACTGTATTTAGCCGGTGTAGCCTGGTTTCCTAAAAATATAGTGTCTTATAACTGTTTTCTTTATAGTTATAATATTAGGAATATCTCTTCTTTTTTTCTTTTTAGTTTTTGTATGTATGTATGTATGTATGTATGTATGTATGTATGTATTTATTTATTTATTTATTTATTTATTTATTTGACAGAGAGAGACACAGCGAGAGAGGGAACAGAAGCAGGGGGAGTGGGAGAGGGAGAAGCAGGCTTCTCACTGAGCAGGGAGCCCGATGCGGGGCTCGATCCCAGGACCCTGGGATCATGACCTGAGCTGAAGGCAGACGCTTAATGACTGAGCCACCCAGGCACCCCAGGAATTTCTTTTGTGAATATGGAGAGCCTGCCGATAAAACAGGTGACCCTGGGGGCAGAGCCAAATAGAGAGGAACTATTATTTAGTTTGCCAAGAGTATATTCAACATGTGTGTTTGTGTGTCTGTGAATTGAACTGGGCTTGGCACTGTGCCAGGACACAAAGAAGCAGGCTTTGCAGTCTTGGTGCAGAAATAAAATACAAACAATTGGAAAACAGAATCACAAAGGTATGTATGGTAGAAGTAGACTGTGTTGTGGGAAGCCAAGGAGGATGTAAGACCAAGTCACAGAGACACTTGTCATGAATGAGGGAGATTGAACTGTTCATAAAGGATTAATGGGTTTGATGGGGAAGGAGAAGACAGAGGGCATTTCAGGTGCGAGGACAAGAGCCCAGTGAGAACATGGTGTGGGCAACATGCATTTGGGGTGTGGGAAAAAGAGATGAACCTCATTAGAGAAACATCTAAGGTAAGACTCATGATAGGATATGGGATTGGGTACAGAAAAAGAGGTCAAATTTTTGAGAGCCCCAAAATTGTACATATCAACAGGAGAATGCTGTTGGACCTCCAACCCCCATCCCCAGGCAGCAAATAGAACAGATAGGGCCATGTCTTTAGAGGGCAAACCTTTACACTTACACTAGCTGGCTCTGTGATGTTGGGCAAATTGCTTACTCTCTCAGAACCTCTAGTTCTTCATAAAATACGTATAATAATACCTGCATCTTTCTGTACAGATATCAATTCAGTTTTAAGTCTTAAAAAAATTAAATAAAATGTATATAATAATACATCAAGGGGATTACCTAATGCATATACAGTGTCTAACAGAGCTCAACTCATAGTAAGTACCCAGAAAATGTTTGATATATAGTAATTGAAAGAGTAAAAGCAGGACTACAGGTAAGTTCTCAGTCTCAGCAGAGAAGTATGTAAGAACACCCAACCACACAGAAAGCTAATGAGTTGTTGATGAAGCCAGTAAATCTGCCCTCTACAATTGCCATACACAAACACCATTCTTCATCAGCGACTCCTTTCCACTACTGTACTGATTTTTTCTGAGCTTCAGCTTCTTATCTGTAAATTGGGCATAATAGTATATGAATTGATATCACTACAGAAATCAAAGGAATTAAGTGCATACATGTACTTTGTAAAATCTAACATGCATACAAATGGTAGCTATTATCTTTTAGTAAAATTTAACAGGAAAAGTATATTGAGTATGACTTTGTTCAGGCATGAATGTTTCAAGGGCTCCAGATGGGAAATATATCAAACAATTCTTGCCTCTCACTCCCGCAGTGGAGGTAATTAATTAGAATAGATTTGTAAAAAGCAAAAAACAAAAACAGTGTTTTTCAGTATTGAGTTTTTCATTAGTACCATGATTGAGCCTGTTTAAGCTATGAATGATAGCTGCTCTGAAAATAATTGAATAGGGATTGGTCACGAGGATAATAGGATGCTGCTTCACATTTCCATAGCATTCTTGAAGTTTCCAAAGAGCAAGTTATTTGCTTATTTGATTTCTCCAAGCACCCTGTGATATAGGGAGGACAGATGTCCTTATACACTTGTTTTATGAGATTGGCTCATCCAAATGGAGATTAAAACTGAAGTCTTGGCCCTATGAGGCATTGCGTAGTGTCACACCCAAAGCTGTAGCAGGTTCTAACAGCAGGAGAGCAGGCCTGGCTGGAAGGCCTTCCACTGGGACTGTGGGGAGCTAAGCTCACAGTGAAAAGCCCTGCCACCCTTTGACCAGTATCCAGTATATGGCTCTTGGTCATGCTTCCTGCGTGGTTTTCTCGAATTTCTCTTCATTATTCTGACTGCAACTTTTATCAGTTAGGGATTGTGTTTGGACGCTGGTAGCAGAAAACCCAAAATAACATTGAGTAAAATAAGTGAAGGTTTCTTCTTTCTCCCACAGCAAAAAAATCAGATGTCACTGGTTCAGTGCTCAAGGGACTCAGAAGCCAGGGCTCAGCTCTTTTGCTGACTTTTCCTTTAGAAGACAGGAGATACAGCTCTACCCTTATATCAGATTTCCAGGCAGCAAAAAGGGAAAGAATATAGGTCACCTTCGTGTGTACGCATCAGAGGACTAGCCTCCACTTTTTAGTAGCTTTTCCAGAAACCTCACACAACAATTTCTACTTGATCTCCATGGTCAGACTGTGTCAGGTGGCCTTGCAGATGATTAGCCTGAGCTCTCTTGCTGCAGCAACAAAATCAAGGATCTGACTGATAGTAAGGAAAACCGGAGAATAGATACTGGTTAAGCAAATACCAGACTGCCATGGCAACATATTAATATTAGGTTTTGAAGGATTGTCCTCTTTGAGGATGTGCTCAAGGGAGATAACCTCTCCCCCAGTACCCTCCTTTTCTCTTTTTCCGGTCACACTGTCTCTGTGTACACAAAAGGACCCTTTAAAATGAGCCCCTATTCCTACAGATTGGAACTCTATTTTCTCAGTTGTTGCTCAGCTTGTATGTTCTCTGAAGCCATAGCCCAGCCTCCCACCCAATAACTCTGAAAGATTAAAGAACTCCAGTCCTTTGGGCTAGAGCAGCAATTGGTGACAACTGCCTTGAAATCTTTCTAAATGGCTCCATTAATCATGTGGGTTTATTGTAGGCTTCCCATACTTAATGCTATATGCTTTGGGTTGAACCAGCATTACCCTGCCAAATTCTGTTTTCAATCAATTTTATTTTGACATTAACTGATCCCAGTTACAGACAAGTTGCATTTTATGTTCCTAGTTAGGCTTTCAAATGCATGCATTGTAATACTCAAGCATGATGCACACAAATGTCTGGTTGCAGATAATTCCTAACCTATGATTTTTCTGAACTCTACTGCTACCAGCATCCAAACACAATCTCTTGAACTCTAAAGTATGTAAACCTTCAAACTGAAGTCGGCCCGGGGTCATCATGTCCCAGTCATTCTAATCATCATTGCTGATAATCCTTTACCCTCATCCCTCTGTTTGCAAACAAGAGGTCTTTGGAAGCTACATGTCATTAATAAAAGAATTTTAAAAGCAAAAAACTCCCAATGCTAGCTTTCTTCAACATCAAGAAATGGAGAGAACACATAGCTATTGGCTTTTTCTCTTCTATTCCCTACTTCTGTTTTCCAAATATCTTCATAGATTTGTTCGTTTTTTATCATGCTAGGTTCTGTCACCTTGACTGCCATGCTGCCATTAATGCTAGTTAGGCTTTTAGTTAACCCTCCCCCCCCCATATAGTCACTCACATACGCGCGCGCGCGCGCACACACACACACGCACTCAGCTCCAGCCAGTTCCCAGTTCCCTGACATGAACTTCTGTCCTGACCCTAATAACCAGCTTGAGGCCACCATCCTCCCTGGCAGCTGCCCAAAAGAATCATTAGCAACTCCTTGATTAGAAAGTTGGACTTCAGCACACTCCAGAGCGCCCCCAACAAAGCGGTTCTCGGGGAGGTTGGGGCTGTTATCCGCGGCTGGGGCGCCCGCTATTGCACAGGCGCCTCAAGAAGATCTCTGCCTCGCGCGTGTCCTTTCTGGTCTGCCTCGCCCTCAGGGCCCACGAGAGCGGGGTTCCGCCAGTGCTGAGTTCTGCGCGCCGGCGGCAGCGGGAACCCTGATTGCTCTCCTTCAACACATTCATTATGAAGTTATTAGTAATACTTTTATTTTCTGGACTTATAACTGGTTGTAGAGGTAACTCTTCCCATAACCTGCCACCCAAGTTACTACTGGTATCCTTTGATGGTTTCAGAGCTGACTATCTACAGAACTATGAATTTCCTCATCTCCAGAATTTTATCAAAGAAGGAGTCCTGGTAGAGCATGTTGAAAATGTCTTTATCACAAAAACATTTCCAAACCACTACAGTATTGTGACAGGCTTGTATGAAGAAAGCCATGGCATCGTGGCTAATTCCATGTATGATGTAATCACAAAGAAACATTTTTCTGACTTTGATGACAAGGATCCTTTTTGGTGGAACGAGGCAGTACCTATTTGGGTGACCAATCAGCTTCAGGAAAACAGATCAAGTGCCGCTGCTATGTGGCCTGGAACAGACGTACCCATTCACAATACCACACCTTCCTATTTTATGAATTATAGCTCTTCAGTGTCATTTGAGGAGAGACTAAATAATATTACCATGTGGCTGATGAATTCAAACCCACCAGTTACCTTTGCAACATTCTGTTGGGAAGAACCAGATGCAAGTGGCCATAAATATGGACCCAAAGATAAAGAAAACATGTACGGAGTGTTGAAAGAAGTAGATGACCTTATTGGTGAGCTAGTCCACAAACTCAAGGTGCTAGGATTGTGGGAAGATCTCAATGTGATCATTACAAGTGATCATGGGATGACCCAGTGCTCTAAGGACAAACTGATAAACTTGGATCTCTGCATTGATGATTCAAGCTACACTCTTGAAGATTGGACTCCAGTTGCTGCTATACTTCCCAAAATAAATACAACAGAGGTTTATAACAAACTGAAAATCTGTAACCCTCACATGAATGTTTATCTCAAAGAAGACATTCCTGCCAGATTTCATTACCAACATAATGATCGAATTCAGCCTGTTATTTTGGTTGCTGATGAAGGCTGGAAATTGTGTTAAATAAGTCATTACCAAAATTAGGTGACCATGGTTATGATAATTCTTTGTCTAGTATGCATCCATTTCTAGCTGCCCACAGTCCAGCATTCCACAAAGGCTACAAACACAGCACAATTAACAGTGTGGATATTTATCCAATGATGTGCCACATCCTGGAATTAAAACCACATCCCAATAATGGAACCTTTGGTCATAGTAAGTGTTTGTTAGTTGACCAGTGGTGCATTAATCTCCCAGAAGCCATTGGAATTGTTATCAGTGCCCTCTTGGTCTTAACCACGCTAATGTGCCTCATTATAATCATGCAGAATAGACTGTCCGTACCCCATCCATTTTCCCAACTTCAGCTGCAAGAAGATGACAATGATCCTTTAATTGAGTAACATGTGCTGGAGTTTATAAAGTATCTTTGATTAGTCACAATACCAAGGATATACTCAAGAAATGGTGTTCTAACGATGAAAAATATACCTTGAAAGACAAAGAACTTAGACCAAGTATGCTAGAATTATTTTGTTTTTCCTTGTGCTTTGTTTTTGTGCATCAGCTAATACAAAAAACCCTGACCATAGTAAAAATTGCTAGTAAATCATTAGTTAACACCAACTATTTCTCTAACTGGAAACTTTTTTTTATGAAAAATATTGCCTCTGTCTTTTTTTTTTTTTGCAATGAAGATTTGACACATTTTTAAATAAAAATATATCAAAATTTTAAAAAAAAAGTTGGACTTCAAATCTTGACGAGATGGAGGCACTGGGAGGAGCGCTGTTCTGGCCCTTTTTAAAGTAATTCTTTCTCTGCTGTCTACTACTTCCTTTGTGTGGTTCTTTCCTCTAGCAGAAAAACACCAAACTTATTGTACTTTTTCCCCCCTCACTTTCCTTTAGCGTCGAGAAGTGGCAAAAACAGTTTTCTGCTTGGTTGTCATTTTTGCTCTTTGCTGGTTCCCTCTTCACTTGAGCCGCATTTTGAAGAAAACCGTGTACGATGAGATGGACAAGAACCGATGTGAATTACTTAGGTACGGGCCCATGTACTCGTTAGGAAATCGAGAGTTTCTCCGATTGTCGTGCTTATAATACTTTTACAAAACCATCTAGTCCACAATCTTGTTAGCCCTGAAAATTAAAACCGCAAAGTTGATTATTTTTCTTTCATTGACATAGCCTGTGACTGATCCCAGAGTTTGTGCGAGCCATATCTGTAATTTTGAGGCACCCCTCCTGGGGCTGTGTGTCATGGTTTGAGCTAACCAAGTGGCAGGTATATCCGTAAATGTTCTGCAGAACTGAAACTGCCACTTAAACAAGGACTTTAAAAAAATTCTGACTGCCACCTATAAGGAATGGCTCCTGGGCAAGAAAAATGCTTATTCTAGGGATAAATGCTAGTTAGCAGATTGAAAAACATTATCGTCTAATTATTCCATTTTCTTCTGTTCTAGTTTCTTGCTACTCATGGATTACATTGGCATTAACTTGGCAACCATGAATTCTTGTATAAACCCCATAGCTCTATACTTTGTGAGCAAGAAATTTAAGAATTGTTTCCAGGTAAGACTGTTTTACACATATCTTTTTAAGGATAACCAAAGGAGTACATGAAGTAGCCAACAATCATGGCTAATTTCCAGTAGAGAAGTGAAAATCCTATTTTGCCCAGACAGAGGGTCAGATTGTCAGCATAAAGCAATATTGTCAGAAAAATTATCCGAAAAGCAATACCAATTCAGACAACAAAATATTCAGGGGTTCAAATAAAAAGAACTAACTTAATAACATGTTAATTTTGTATGCTGCTTTATAAAGAAATGCTCAACTGTGAGCTCTAGGCTCCAGAAAATACACACAACCTAGTCATGCCTCACATTATCTTAGATGTTAACCACACCCTCAACAAAACATGAAATCTGCTGCTAAAAAAGCTCTTGCTAAATAATAGGATATTTAATAATAGCCTCTTCAAGAAAAGGAAATGCTTATTGCCCTAGCAATCTGAACTAATGTAATTTCATTTGAAATCAGTTTCCTTCTGTTCTTCAAACTTCCTTGCAGGTAAGCCAATCCATGTCTTCCCGAAGCTCCATGTACTTCTTCCTGAAGTATCTCTCCAGTTCCTGGGACAATTAGCACGGCATTAATCCTAACTGGATTTTGTTATCTTTGGCCAGGATGTGTCACTTCAGTTTATGGCACATATTAGGAAGAGTAGTGTAGAGGTCGAGGGTGCAGGATCTAGAAGCAAGCAATCTTGATTTACATCACAGCTCTGTACTTGCTGTCTAATCCGGGTCCAGGTGGTACCCCTCCTGCCTCCTCAGTTTGATCATCTGTAAAATCAGATGATCACTGTATCTATCTCATAGGTAGGATTCAGTGGGTTAATATATGTTAAGCACTTGGGACAATAATAAGCTCTCAGTAGGAGTTTTTTATTATTAGGGATAGAGAAGAGAGGAAAAACCCCATGACTTCCCTCATGGAATGGACCATCTAGAAGGAGATAGACATACCAAAGAATCTTACAAACAGGTGAATCTTGGTATAGAAGTTCTAGCTGCTACCTTTTTGAAGTCTACTTGATAATGTTTACAAGTCATGCAGTGCTCTAAGAAAGATTCTGCCCAAGGAAGGATTGACTAAAATGCTGGTCATAATTAATCCATCATATAATCTGGAATTAATGTCATTTTAATTAATTTACATATTAATTAGACGGGAAGGAAAATCAAGGTACAAACTCAGAAATTAAACCTACCTGTTGACTGATCTTCATACAGAGGTAGCATATGCAGGAGAAAGAGCTTAATTTAGAGAGTCCTGGGTTCTAATTCCAGTTCTGCCTATTTCCCCTCTAAGCCTCCATGTCCTCATTAATAAAATGGGGAAAATAGCACCTACCACCTAAGGCTGTGAGGAGCATCACATGAGGTGCCCAAAGCAGAGAGCCATGCAGGTGATGCACTCTGTAGAAATGCCAGGCACCTCCGGACCCTTCTCCAACCGTGCCCACCCCAAGTCATAGGACATGCTCCCTTGGGCTAACACTGCCTTCCCTTCCACTTTGATTTGGTGAATCACTAAAACAAACAAGGGATCTATTTTCTCTTCACTAGAATGGACAGTTGAACTTCTACCTAGAGATTACAGGCTCCATGCTCTAGATTACTGTTTAGGCTCACATTCTGTCCTCACATTTTTTGGTAGGAGCCCAAGGCTTCTGTGTTCTGCTGGGAATGTGTTGGTAGGCTCGTTTATTAAGAATCTCTTCCTTCCCCCAGTCTTGCCTCTGCTGTTGCTGTTACCAGTCCAAAAGTCTGATGACCTCAGTCCCCATGAATGGAACAAGCATACAATGGAAGAACCATGAACAAAACAACCACAACACAGAGAGGAGCAGCCATAAGGACAGTATTAACTAAACATCTTAAGAGATATTAATCAATAATCCTTCAAATTCTATTGGAGAAAAAAAAAAAAACACACAGCAACTGTGTTTCCAGAAATCTTTTCTCCAATCCTTCTCCCGTGACTCAGCCCCAAACCCAGAAAAATGCTTTCCAAAACATCGGAAGGTAGACTGGTTATGGTCACAAATTCAATGAATCTTACTTCTTTAATTTATCTAATTTACATATTCTACATGTTATATTCCGCACTAAAAAAATGGTGGGAGTTGGCAGGGGGAAAGGAGACTGTTCGACTAAATCAGAGGGATATTTACTACTTTTGCATGAAAATAGAGTCTTCCAGTACATAACAGCTTCCCTGGCAGTTCTGTGGAATGTCCAGTGAGAACTGGTTACAGTGAAAATTTAGCGATTACGACAAGATTTTCTATTTTTTTGAATTGGCCAGACACAGTAAGGTGAGCAATCAGGTTAATGCTTTTCATGTCACTTTTTTATTTTTAAAACATCAGTTCTCAAGCTGCAGCAGATATAGGCACTTAAAAAGCCCAAACTGATATCCACATGTGGCAGTGTAATAGCTGCTATTCAAAGAATTTTTAAGAACCTGTATTTTCTTTTGTAATGGTGTTTCATTACAGGAGATCTGGAGCATATTTTTATGTTAAATTTTAAAATAATGCTTGAATCAAATAGTTCTATTTTTCACAAGCCCAATCTTTTTTACTGTAGATATTTTATGTAAAATCAGTATCATGTACCAAAATTTAAATGTGTGTATCATTCAACCATACCTAAGACTTTCAGTGGAATGTATTGATGTCTAAAGCACAACTAGTAGAAAAAGACTGAATGTTTTTAGAAGACTTGGAAATTTTCATTGAGGGGATTTTTTTTTGTAATAGTAACATGTATGTGTGTATTTGGTAATAGCAACATGTGTGTGTACATGTATACATATATGTACACATACATATATGTTTTACATATCACCTCATAGTCTCTTGATTTCTCTAAAAATGTTAACTGTCGGTAAAACTTTTTTGGTCATTCCCTTTTCCATATAAGAAACCATTTCAAAGTGGCCAGCTGAGTTTATCATGTCAGTGAAATATAATTACCCCCAAATGCCACCATGAACTTACAGTTCTTCACTTCTCTGGGTTTCTAGTACGAATCTAAACACCTCCCCCACCCCCACTTCTCACATGGTCACCATTTCAAAGGGCCCACAGTGACTTTTGCTGGGCATGTTCCAAGATGTTTACAGACTGTGAGTACAGCAGAAAATCTTTTACTGTGTGTATATAAATATGTATAAACAATTGTACATTTCCTTCAGCCAATTTTTCTGTGATTGTCTTTATGGAATGTACTTGTGTGTGTGTGATATATGCATGTGTGTGATGGTATGTATGAATTTAATGTAATCTAATAATACTGCCCTGTAGTCGTACCACAGGACACACTCTGAGTGGAATCTAAGTGGTTGCTCATCATGACCACTGGCCTTAGTCAGTTTTAATCTATCTGTGTTCATAATTCTTGTGAACATGTCACCATTACAAATGGAATATGGGAGGCAACATGAGTGGGGATGAATCATGGGTTAACAATAGTGTTTGTTTAGCTGGTTGGTGGGTTGGTTTGATAAAACAGCATTTGAGATTGTACTTTTTCCTGTGCTAGAGCAAAAGTCATTAAATATTGAAGTATTATATTGTCCTGGTTCTTCAACTCAGTATGCTGATGAAACTGACAAGAGGTCTGATGTTTCCCATCAGACTTCACCAGACAGACTGCTGATGATAAATTAACTAAGCTGACTTGTTGGGCTATATTTTAGCATAGTCATGTATAAAATGATATCAGGTTCCAGTTGATCTAATCACAGGGCTCCTTTATGTGTTAATAGTCAAATTCCATAACTTACTGGTACATCACATGCAGTGATATATACCTATAATATAAGCCATAGTTCACAGCATTTTGTTTAGACAATTGCCTTCCTTTTTAAGATGTTTTCTCTCTTGCATATGAAAAAATACATTTCATAAGTTCAGAAAGTCATAGATTTCTGAATAACACACAGGCTTCAGTGTGCATTTTGTTTATGGACCAGTAAGTAGCCATGGTTTACTAGAAGGAATATTTCCAATTTCTACCTTTATCACACCTTTCCAAGTAAATCTGTAGAAATGAGCCAGAAGCCAAGGTCCCTGCATTGGCAGTGGCCCATAAGTATAAAATAAAAGTTTACAGAAGCCTTGCAAGCGTCTCTTCATTTCTATATAGTTCTACACAGAAAATGTTGATTACATGATATCTATTGCTAACATCTCCCTAGTAATAGCCCAGCAAGCAATTTTACTTTCAAACAGATATTTCCTAACTATATCCTATTTGCAACCTACTTTGTCATACAGAACACTTAACTCTTTCATCCATTCCTTCATTCACCTTTCCAGTATATTTTACTAAGGATCTACTTTACCCCGGTCATTCTTCTAGGTATTGGGGACATAGTGGTGAACAAAACAGGCAGAGTTCCTGCTCTCATGGAGCTGGCATTCTAGAGGAGGGAGTTGGACAATAAACAGTGCATCAGGTGGATACCTGGATGAGGAGATCACATATATCCAAGTACTTATTTGACATTTTCACTTGAATGGCTAACAGACATACTATATGTAAAACTAAGCTCCTCATAGCTCTCTAATCTGTGCTGCCCTAATATTCCTCTGCTCATGTATTAGTCAGGGTTCTCCAGAGAAACAGAAGCAATAGGACATATAGATAGATAGATAGATAGATAGATAGATAGATAGATAGATAGATAGAAGAGGAAATTCATTATGGGAATTGGCTCACATAATTTTACGGAGGCCGAAATATGCCATGATCTGCCATCTACAAGCTGGAGAACCAAGAAAGCCAGTGATATAATTCAGTCCAAGTCCAAAGGCCTGAAGAAAACAGGGGAGCCGATGGTATAACTCCCAGTCTGAGGCCTAGTCCTGGGAACCATGGAGCAGCCTGCTGGTAGAGGTCCCAGAGTCCAAAGGCCCAGAAACCAGGAGCACCGAAGTCCAAGGGCAGGAGAAGATGGATGTTCCATGTCAAGAAAAGACAGAGAATTCACCCTTCCTCTGCCCTTTTGTTCTTTGCAGGCCCTCTACAGATGGATGATGCCTGCCCACACTGGTGAGAGCAGATTTGCTTTACTCAGCCTCCTGATTCAAATGTTAATCTCTTCTGGAAATACTCTCACAGGCATACCCAGAAGTAATTATCTTACTAGCTTTCTGGGTGTCTCTTGGCCCAGTCAAGTTGACATATAACATTAACCGTCACAGCTTTGTTAAAGACAGCTCCATCCTTTGAGCTGTCAGGATAAAAACCTTGAAGTCATTGCCCATTCTTTCTCTGATATCTTACACTCAATGCCTCAATACATGCTGACAGCCCTATCTTCAAAATATATTCTTGGGGCACCTGGGTGGCTCAGTCGGTTAAGTGGCTGCCTTCAGCTCAGGTCATGATCTCGGGGGCCTGCTCAGCGGGGAGTCTGCTTCTCCCTCTCCCTCTGCCTCTCCCCCCCGCCAGCCCAGCTTGTGCTTTCCCTCACTCTCTCTCTCAAATAAATAAATAAAACCTTAAATATATATATATAATATACATATATATTCATTCCTAATTTGACCACTTCTCTCTCTCTGCCTCTACCTCCCTTTTCTGAGCCACCAACGCCTCTTGCCAGAAAAACTACAATAGGCTCCTATCATGCCTACTTGTTTCCAGCCTTGTAAACATTATACCCTAATTGGAGCCTGTCTCTTGACCCCCATAAATGGTCTAAAGGTATTCACATTTCCAAGCTAACTTGACCAGCATCCCCTGGGGAATTTTCCAGTAACAACTAAAGTAGGAAAGAGCCCTTTCCCACTGTGGCACACCTAGTAGGTCATGAGCCTGGGAGCTGCTGGCCACCATGCCTTGGGCATTATGAGGAAAGTCAGCCTAGAGTGTTACAAAGATGGAAGAGGGCATAGAAGTTCCTGGTGCCAGTTTTCCCTGATGCATTCCCATGGCTTGAGTAAGCAAACCAACATATTTACCTTTGTGACTACGCTAATTACCTTTGGGTTTTTGTTGCTTACGACACATACATTCTAAGAACATCTCATCTAAATTATCTTGATTTGGGGCGCCTGGGTGGCTCAGTTGGTTGGGCGACTGCCTTCGGCTCAGGTCATGATCCTGGAGTCCCGGGATCAAGTCCCACGTCGGGCTCCCTGCTCAGCGGGGAGTCTGCTTCTCCCTCTGACCCTCTTCCCTCTCGTGCTCTCTATCTCTCATTCTCTCTCTCTCAAATAAATAAAATCTTTAAAAAAATATATAAATTATCTTGATTTGTTTTTTCTTATTGCTTAAATTCAGAGGCTTTATGTTTTTTAGAGTTTTAGAGCAGATTGGAAAGTACAGAAAATTCCCACTTGCCCTCTTTTCCCCTTTCCCTCCAAAGAGTTTTCCAAGGGCTCCCGGGTGGCTCAGTCGGCTAAGCATCTGTCTTCAGCTCAGGTCATTATCTCAGGGTCCTGGGATCGAGCCCTGCATCACATCGGGTTCCCTGCTTAGCGAGAGCCTGCTGCTCCCCCAGCTTGTGCTCGCTCACGCGTGGTATCTCTCTCTTTCTCTCTCAAATAAATAAAATCTTAAAAAACAAAGCGTTCTCCCTATTATTTCATTTTGTGTTAGCGTGGTATACTTGATGAGCCAATACTGATACAATATTATTAAATAGTTTACAATGGGGTCCACTATATTGTACATTGCATGGATTTTGATAAATGTGTAGTGACAATTATCCACCATGATAGGATCATTCAGAATAGTTTCACTGCCCTAAAAATCCCCTGTGCTCTAACTTTTCTTCCCTCCTTCATTCTCCCCCTTGATTTATCTTTTCACCCAATACAAATGTAGTGAACACCCTCCATTATTACGCTGTGCGAGTTGCCGGGAATATGAAACCAGATGTATAAATAAATAAATGCACTAAAGTCCTTAGTGATGACTCAGTAGATGTCAGCATCAGGGCCAGTAAAGGCACGAAGACAAAGTAGTCAAAATTCTTTAAACTTCAGCTGGTGACATTAGTGAACAAACAAATTAGTGAACAAAAGTGTGAGGGTTCTTGCTTCTATGATTCTTATTTTAATGTAAAAATGTATCACTGCCAGGAGAATGGCATAATAAAAAGCAATAGACTATTGTCTGTACATTATGAGCTTTTTTAAACCTGTAAATACATGTTATTCTCCATTCAAAAATAAACCTAATATCGGTGCATTTAAAATTATTAAGGTAATAAAACAAACTGGAGATTAAGGCCAGGAAGGAGCCAAGACAAATATGAATCTTTTGCTAGTCTATTATCTCTATCATTATTTTTAATAGTATTACTAGTCCATAATATAGTGTTAAACAATATATAGGTGTGGAATGAAGAAAATGCACTACCATTATTCCCAAACCTCTCCAGGCCTGAAATTCTGAGACTACGATTCCTTCATTTATAACAGAATCTAGTAGAGCACTCTATTGATTGATTTTTCTCCATACCTCAAATAAGCAAAGTTAAATCAAGACACAAGTCCACCATATGCAGTTGTCTCTGAAATTCCAGTGGGGTCTTCATATTGAAAACCGCCCCATGTTTCTGTTTGTTTTTTTAATAAATCTTACATTTGGAGAAGCTTCTGTCACACTTTCCTCTAAGTACTTTTTCCTTATTGCTTAAATTCAGAGGCTTTATGTCTTTTAGAGACTGGTTTGTCTCTTTATGTCTATATGTTTGTCTCTTTATATTTTTTAGAGACTGGCTTTACAGACACTGGTTTGTCTATATTTGGTCAGCACCGACACTCTGACTTTTTTGTTTCTAAAACTGAAAGGAGAAGACACAGTTCTTAGAACTAGGGAATAATCAAGAACCAAGAATAACATTATAACTGCAAAGCTAGGCTTTCCCCCTGAAGCAAACTAGCATGGATCACTTTTGATTTGATGAAGCCAGTAGTCCTAATATCTCACGGTTTCCCAAGCTTTTGGCATCAGTATTATTCAGTAGATTTCCTTGTTTCTTCCTGGGAGGTAATAAATTAGGAATGGCATTGCCAAACCTAGCTATAATAAGAAGAGTCATGGAATCTCCTGAGGGAATAGAGTAATCCACAATTTTTTCCTTTCTGGCCTTAAACCACAGTCCTCTTTCCTAATTTATCTACATGGAACTGACCATCTTTTATTTGAACTGGATTCTTTGATGATAGGTACAACTGTT